ATAGATAGATAGATAGATAGATAGATAGATAGATTGATAGATAGATAGATAGATAGATAGACAGATCCCAACACTTTGGGAACCGATTGCTTTGCAAATCATATTCCTGTGGGGTAACCATTTATTAAGTTCCACGCTTGTACTGAACTGCTCATAGTTGTGAGACCATACTTAACCGCACACGTTTTTAGTAGGTTTAGTTGATGAGAGATGGTTGATGACACTTTATCCAACACTAGTCTAGGCCGTACTCCTGCTCATTTACGACTTATTCTCGGCCGCACACTGGTCAACATCGGCAGCGTACGTCTTACTGAAGCATATGCACGCAGAATACTTCAAACTAGACTACTCAAATGCATCCGGCAAGTTGAAGGATTTCCACTCATCAGTTAGTCGGGTAACCCGGTTAGCCTGGTGCGTTCAGTGGTGAGTGAGGTCAAACTTTAGTTCCTGTGGCATCACGGGCTTTTGTACAGTCTTAGAGTAGAAGTTTGTGATCGGTCTACGCTAACTATAACGACGTGTTTTACTTCGGGCAGTGACTACGTGGTCGCCGTACCACAAAAATTTTCCTCGGTAAATCCATTCACCTCAGTTGACGAACAATCGCCGTTTATAAGAAATCTGACCAAGGACAGCGGACTGAAATTTCTCCTCAACGAGTATGTTTCTCTTCTTGGGGATAACAATATCAGTGTAGTATTTATGCGCCAATTCGGTGCATTCCGATACTCTAAGGGATATGCCACGTATAGGTATAGGAATTTTGCTTTTTCTCAGTGAATTCAGCAGTAAAAAGGTGTTTACTCTCCATCACCTTCTTTCATTCAGGTTGATACCAGCTGGTAGGCTTTTTTCACAAAGCTTGACTTCTATGGTGAGTATTTGGATCACGCCATTTTTGAGCAGAGACTCACTCGTGAATAGTATGTCTGATGTGTGCCGAGTGTAACCAGCATTTAGGAAAATTGCGCGTGTTATAAACCTCGAATTTCCCCAATCCAGAAGGATAATAGTTCACAGTTTATGCATCGTATGAAAGATGCAATCGATTGAGGGGGATTTCGATCTGATTTATGTCCTAAAGTTGATTGGCTCATTCTGATATCTTGATGTGATGCTACACAGTTTGGTCAGCCAAGCCACGTGACCCGTTGCATCCACTTGCTGACTGATGACCATAAATCTTCACCAATATCCGAATTTTTGTGGAATCAAGTAGTTCTGACAAAGAATAACACTTGGACAATAAATTGGTGTTGAGGGGCAACTCATTTGAACCCCGTTTGGATCCAACTGCTATATCTTAAAGTTCTTAAAGTTCATTTTTAAATCAAACATCAAACATATTCATTTGGCCATCTGGAGGTTCAATTAAACTAAAGACGTGTTCCCCGTCAACGCCATGTTACTTTTCAAATAAGGGTCTAGAGCAACCTGGGTAATAAGTAGTTTTCAAGTAACTAGACACCCGCGTAATCAGTTCCAATAAGGATAAAACTGCTGGCGCAATGTCTGGGGTTTAAACTCACCTCAAGACTAGTGTTCGATGGGGAGGTCACTCAGTGTTCCGATGTAAAACACACGCCAGCTGCTCGAAACAAATTTCCTAACTCCATAAGTACTAAGTGTTGAACGATGCTTCACCTCATTGCTCCATATTTCAGTGATTGTGTGTGTTAGCAGACTTGTCTGCACAAGGTGTGGATTAAATAATCGACCAGATCAAGTATGCCATAAATATTGCTTGGTAGTATAGTAACGGTGTTCGAGACGTCAACTGTTCAGCGTTTCAGCTCTCCAAGAAACCTGGTACACCATCGCGGTGCATGTCCATCTTGGCTCTCAGTCTTGATGAACAGAACAATCATTGGAGGGAGGGGGACAAAAAGTACCAG